TATATATATATATATATATATATATATATATATATATATATATATATATATTCTTCATTTATATATATATATATAAATGAATATATATAAATGAAGAATTTAGTATATATATTAAATTCTTCATATATATATATATTTAGTATATATATTAAATTCTTCATTTCCAAATTTATCTTGGAGGGGAAGAAAACCATTAAGAAACAAAGTAATCCAGATCTGCTTATTCAGTCAGGGTAAAGAGAATACCATACTGGCATGGAACTCAACTCTAGGGGTCAGTATGATAGCTCAGCAGGTAAATAGGCTTGCTGCCAAGGCTACTGACCTAGTGTGATCTCTGGGACCCACATGGTAGAAGGAGAGAATCAGCTCCTCCAAGCTGTCTGCTGACCTGCACACACACCCCATATGCTTCACATATAAACAAACATATAAATAAACATATAAATAAACAAACAGTAATATCCAACTACAGAATTATAGGTACTCTATTCTAAGAGAATGCATTTTATTCCACAAATAATGTCCATTTCTCCATGTATTGGGGATACTCTCTTGAGGAAGGGTTGTTTGGTTTTGGTGTGTGTGTGTGTGTGTGTGTGTGTGTGTGTGTGTGTGTGTGTGTGTTGTAGGTATACATCAGGCATGCACGCACACACACAAACACATGCATATATGCAAACACATATATGGTGGTTTGAACATGAAGTCTCTGCCATGAGTTGAACACTGGGTCCCAGATGGTGGTGCCATTGAAAGGGTTCTTTAGGCTCATGAATAAAGTAAAATGAGACATTGAACCTCTATTTTCTGGTAGTCTGAAAGTGACAGTCTGTCTCCCCTTAGGGACAGCTGCAGGAAAAGGCTCTGTAGGGGTTCGGTATATGATCATACTGCTTCTCTGGAAACTAATACAGTGGAAAAGTAAAATAACATCTGATCTCATATTATTTACAAGTAATTGGTCTCTCCTCTCCTAGGATATCTTTTCTTTCTTGGGATTTGGACACATGGAACGGAGAGATGGTGCAGTAGTTAAAGGCTTGCCCCAAGTCCAGCTAACATCCTGAGCTCCATCCTAGAACCCCACAGGGTGGGAAAAGAGAAGCGACTCCTGTAAGTTGTCCTCTAACTCTATACATACACACAGAAATACACACATCCATATATGTATATATACACACATTAAAAAACATACATGCACAGACACACATACAGAGAGAGGCACACAGAGACAGACATTCACACATACATAGACACACAGACACATTCCAGCACTGTAGGGAATGAAGAGAGGAGAATTTATGGGACTAGCTGCCTCGTCTAACTGAAGGTTCAGTGAGGGACCCTGTTTCTAAGGAATGAGGAAGGGAGTTGTTCTAGTTTACATTTCTATTGCTGTGACAAATACCTTGACAAAATCTGTATTCAGAAGGAAGGGTTTATTTGGTTTACAATTCTAGGTTACAGTCCATTATTTTGGGGAAATCAGGAACATAAGCAACTAGTCACACCACATTCATGGTCAAGAGCAGAGAGAACAAATATAGATTTCCTTGCTTGTTTGCTTTCTGTTCTCTTACACTGGCCAGGGTCCCTTGCCTAAGGAATGACTTCTCCCACAATGAACTAGATCTTTCTTCAAATAACAATTAAGACAATCCCCAGAGACACACCCACAGGCCAACCTGATCTAGAAAATTCCTCATGAAGACTCTCTTCCCAGGTGATTCTAGCTTGTGTCAAGTTGACAGTTAAATTAACCATGGCACGATCAAAATACTTAGGATGGAAATTCTCACTTAAGAGACTGCTTAGTTTTGAAAAGGAATAAAATGCAAGAAAGCACAAGATTCTCTACTTATTGTCCAGAGTAGGTCACTAAGGCACGAGGCACACTAGTCAGTCTTTACAGAATAAAAGCCCAAACTATCCTGACCCAAGAAATGGTAATGTTGCTGCTCAAATATCTTCACTGGAATGGGCTGGGGTAAGCAAGTCTCACTTAAGAGCTGTAAGAAGCTTTGAACCTCAAGGATAAGGTTCACATCACAACTCAGGAGGAGGAGATGCTCCATTACCAACCTTGATTCCGAGTTCAATATTCTCTCCTCCATACACATCCATCCCAGGGTCTAGCAGACCGATTTCACCAAAGAATTTCCTGTTGACCACAAATGAGCAGCCAATCATGGCCGGTGTCCTGTGGGAGAAAGAAAGAGGCAAGATCACCAATGTGTAGACAAGTGATGTCTTTCTTGAAGACACTTACCGCAAACCAGTGTTGTCAACCTTGCTAATGCTGTGAGGCCTTAACACAGCCCCTCGTGTTGTGATGACTTCCCCAACCATGAAATTATTTTTGTTGCTACTTCCTAACTGTTTTTGCTACTGTTATGAATCATAATGTAAATATCTGTGTTTTCTAAATGGTCTTAGGTAACCCTGTAAGAGGGTTGTTCAACACCCACCCTCAGAAGTCATGACCCACAGGCTAAGAACTGCTTCCATGTCGGAGACAGCTCCCACTCCACTTGCTAAGGCACCCACATGAAGATCAAACTGCCCATCAGTTACATATGTGTAGGGGGCCGAGGTGCATTCCATGCATGCTCTTTGGTTGGCACTTCAGTCTCCGTAAGCCCCCGTGGGCCTAGGTTAATTGACTCTGTAGGTCTTCTTGTGGAATTCTTGTCTGCCTGGGTCCTTCTATCCTCTCCAGTACCCTACAAGACTCCCCAAGCTCCACATAATGTTTGGCTGTGGGTGTCAGCATCTGTTTGCTTTTGGATCACTTGCCCCTCACTGGACTACCTTGCCTGGCCTCAGTGGAAGAGGATGTGCTTAGTCCTGATACAACTGAATGTGCCAGGGTGGGTTGGTACGGTGGCAGGAGGAGTGTCCCCTTTTCTGAGGAGAAGGGGAGGGGAAAGGGGAAAGAGGGTAGGAGTGCAGGACTAGAAGAAGGGAGAGGGCTCCATTTGGGGTGCAAAGTGAATAAATAATTTTAATTAAACAAACATCTTTGAGTCCTTAATTTCCCCACTCTTTTTATAAGGCTACCTTTCAGCTGCAGAAGAACAGAGAACTTAGCAACTAGGGATATCCCAGAATCCTGGCAAACATGGTTTCATGTGTGGCATGGTGTTTACCACATGGAGAGGTTCTCACTGTACTCTGGGAATGGCAGACTGACTTTATGGAGGCTCAGAGGCTGTCTCAGTTCATTTTAGCAGCTATAATCTGCTCTACCCCAGGAAACAGAAGGGACTGAGCAAACTTGAATCATGAAGGCATATCAGAGAATATGTGATGGTTAATCTTCACTGTTGACTTGACTGGGTTTGGAATCACTTAGGAGACACACCCATGGTTATGCTTCTGTGGGTGTTTCTGGAAGGGTTTAACTGAGGAAGAAAGGACCTGTCTTCCACAAGTGTAGGGTGACACCATCCTAGAGGCTGGTGTTCTGGACTGATAGTAAGGAGAGGGCAAACTGAGCACCAGCATTCATCTCTATCTGCTTCCTGACAGGACACAGTGTGACCACGCACCTCATGCTCCCACTGCCATGATGGACTGTCTCCTCCAACTGTGAGCCAAAATAACCCTTCCTCTCTTAAGATGCTTTCATCAGATATGTGGTCAAAGCTATGGGGAAAATAACTAGCATATACTCTAAACTCCAAGGAATCCAGTATCCATATTCTGCCTGATGATGCTGGACTAGGAAGCTGGTGTTTTGAGGAGGGAGAAGACTCAGAAGGGAAGGCCCTGGTGTCCATGGGTATCTGAGACATCTGCCAAGGAAAGCTGTTATGTACTCTTGATTCCTCCTCACTGGAACAAGACTAAGGAAAGACTGGCCTCTCTGTCTGCTTCCTGGGTAGTTCATCAGAAGTCAGACACAAGGGCTGGACAGCTGATCCTGATGGAGGACAAAGAGCCATGATTTCGCTGTTGGTATCTCATGAGAAAGTTGTGGTTGAAATCTGCCTCAGTGTCAAGGGGTCTCTGATAGAGACTATGGGAAAGAGGGAATGAAAGAAAGCCCCAGAATGCAGGACAGCTTTGAAATAAATACAAATGCAGGAGGCTATAGAGAGAGACTGTGCTTGAAAGAAGAAAGGGAAGGAAAGAGAAGGGAATGAAGAAAGGAAGAAAAAGAAAGAAAGAAAGAAAGAAAGAAACAAAGAAACAAAGAAACAAAGAAACAAAGAGAGAGAAAGAAAGAAAGAAAGAAAGAAAGAAAGAAAGAAAGAAAGAAAGAAAGGAAGGAAGAAAGAAAGAAAGAAAGGAGGAAGGAATAAAAAAGAGAGGCAGAGAAAGAGAGGGAAAGGAGCAGAGAACTTTCCACACGTACAAAAACACAATTTCCACTCATTGTAAACATTTACTTATGTGCACAGTTACATCTATAAAAATTACTTAGAGGCTTGGCAAGATCACACATTCCACTGAGACTCACAACCTGAGTTTGACCTCCAGAACCCACACGGTAGAAGGAGAGAACCAACTCCCGCAAACTGTCCTCTGGCAATCACATGTGTGCCATGGTATGTGCAGACCTTAGAAATAAATATTTAAATTTTAAAAAGAAAAGTAGCTCGGGCCACTTAGTGAACTTAAGGCCAGCCTAGGGCACATCATTCGTACAAGGCCTATCTGGGTTACCAGGTAAGTTTAGCCTCAGCTACACAGTTCAAATCCAGCCCAGGCGACTTTAATGAGTTGAGGCTGGGCCATCCAGCATTGCTGGTAAGTTCATGGGATGACTGCCTGCTATTCTGGTGCCATCTGACTGGACTTACAGTGATCAGCTATCAGCCTGAGAGAAACAGTTCCCCAGGCGTGAAGCTGCTGCTTGACACAATGGGACTTGCCGTGCCCAGCGGCAGGTGGGCTAGCCTCATCCTTACTATTGGTGAACTGAGAACAAAGTGTGGCCTTACTTCCACTGTAGGCATCCAGGCCGCCCGCCCAGCCATGTGAGCTGTACTCAATAACACTCTGGCAACGATGAGGTTCTTGAATGTGTGCTCACAGTCTCATTTTTCAAACTCAACTGCAATTACTGCTATTAGCACAAACATTCTAACTCAAAATCATTCAAAAATGTTAATGGTATTAAGGGAATCTGCCAATGCCCTAATAGCTTCATTATAGAGGAGAGGAACAGAAATTAAAACCAATCACTTTTATTGTTGCTGTTTTATAAAATATATGCATCACACATGACTATTCCAGCTGAGAGAGAAAGAGAGAGTCAGGAATGGGTGGTAGCCATGAGAATTCCCATTCAGACTTGTAAAACTTTCTGGGTTTCCATGCTGGCTCCTTTCACAGGCTTGACCACATCTTCTATGACTTGAATCTAAAACATACCCTACAGGCTATTTGGGAGTACCTTTGGGGGTGGGGCCTACTTGAAGGGGTGGAGATTTGAAAGTCATATCTCAGACCCTACTTTCAGACCCTGATTCTTGGTCCACTATGTAAGAAATCTCCATCACAAACTCCCATTATGAACTCCTCCATGTTTTCTTAGCCATGATGGAAGGAATAAAACCATCAAAGACATGGGTCAAAAGATTATCTTTAACCCAACATAGATAATTTTATCATTAACTTGAAGGGATCTGAAATCTTAGAAGATAAACCCCTGGGTATGTTTGTGAGGGAATTTCTAGATTAGGTTCTTTGAGGTGGGAAGACCTGAATACAGATGTCACCATCCCTGAACTAAATAGGAACACAATGTAACCAGCTGCCTCCAATTGCTGTTGCTTTGACTTCCATACCAGGACAGGCTGTATCCACTCAAACTTTGAAACAAAATAAAACCTTCCTTCCTTTGGTTGTGTTTGTCTGGTATTTTGTCATAGCAATGAGATAAGCAATGAGTACACACTTAAAGTACCCAGTTGGAAGAGACTTCTTGGTAAACTTCCTGCCTAGAATCTCCCAGTGAGGTGCTGGAAATGTGGCTTAGTGGCAGATCACCTTCCTAGAACCCCCCAATGTAGAGTTACAGTAGTGCCTCAACAGTATAACTCCTGTTTAGAATCCCTCAATGAGGGGCTGGGGTGTGGCTCAGTGATAGATCACCTGCCTAGAATTCCCCAGTAAGGAAGTGGGGGTGTGTCTCAGTGGTAGAGCACCTGCCTAGAATCCCCCACTGAGGGGCTGGGGCTTGGCCAAGTGGTAGCACACTTATTTAGCATATGAAAGGCCCTGGTTTCAAACTATAGAACCACAAAGCCAACCAACAGCATCCTTGCAACTGTCTCAGCATCAGCTTCAGCAACTCTTGTCCTTAGAGAATAATAAGTCCCAGTTCCTTCAGTAGCTAGTGCTGTCAGCCCTCTGCTCATAGGTTTTACACCCCTGGATTCACCCAACGATCAACTGAGAAGGCTTGAAAACGTAATTGCATCTGTATTGAACATGTCCAGATTTTTCTACTCACCCTTATTCCCTAACATTTTAATGCAAACTTACACACTGACATTGTGCTGAGGTTTTCAGAGCTGAGATGATTCGTGGCCCAGGATGGTGTAGGTTTTATGGGAACTACACATTGTCTACATAAGAGACTTGAGCATATTGGATTTGAATAACTATGGTGGGGTCCTAGGACCAATCCTCCATCCACAGAATGTAGGAATAACTCTGTCATCTTTTTTGGCAAAAGGCATCTTGGTGGATCATACCCCGCTATTACAGCGCACTTTGTGATGACTCTGTAAATTCTCTTATGTGCTTCCCCATAAACAGAGTGAGGTCCATGAGGAGATGATACTGCCCCTTAGTTCCAGAAGTTGTATACTGAGGAGAACAGTAGATAGAACAGGAGGGCATGGGAGAACTGTGTGCAGAGACTTGCTCAGTCCAGCCAAGCCCTTCACTGGGAACCTCACTACTTTTGGGGTATTCATAATCCTCAAAGTGTCACTGCTTTAGAGACATCATTAAACCCACTTCCTGTCAGAGGGAACTGACAGAGGCTGTGCTAAGCTAGCTTTCCATCGCTATCACAAAATACCAGAGATAGTTCACTTATAAAGAAAAAAGGTTTATTTTGGCTTGAAAGATTCCAGTCTGTGATTAAGTCATTTCATTGCCTTCTTAGCAGTATTTGTTATTTTATTACTATTATTACTATCACTATTAGGGCCAGAGAATAACTTTAGGGAGTCAGTT